GCCCTGGTCTGCACATAAACTAGGCCAGCTCTGTGTGGTTCTGCTTGTCTGTTTTACATCTGGGCAGGATTTCATTTAATGAAAGGCTCTGTTTCTGAAAATGTTTGAAAATCACTTACCTGACTTGTATTTCTCATAGAGAGTATAGTGGGTTGAAAGGTGTCCCCTCAAAACATATTGTCAAGTCTTAACCCCCAGTACCTGTGAATGTGACCTTATTTAGAAAAAGTGTCTTTGCAGATGTCACAAAATGAGGTCATCCTGCATTAGGGTGGGCCCTAAATCAATGGGTGGTGTGTTATAAAAGAAAGGAGAGGGAGATCAGGACCCAGAGACACAGGGAAAAGACACAGTGGAGAACTCTGTGTGACAATGGAGGTAGAGATTGATGCAGCTACAAGCCAAGGCATGGAACAGATTCTCTCCTAGGGCCTCCAGAAGGAACCAGCCCTGCTGGTACATTCATTTCAGACTTCTGACCTCCTGACCTATGAGAGAACACATTTCTTTTATTTTAAGCCTCCCAGTTTGTGGGAATTTGTTATGGCAGTCCTAGGAAACAATACAGAGTGGATAATAGACCTCTTACCTAGAAATGGGTGAGAGTGGGCTTATTAAAATGTTGGTCCCAGGCTCAAACCCCAAGATTCTGATTCTGTAGGGGCTCAGGCATCTGTATTTTGACAAGTTCTCCATAGGTGCAATGATTAATCTTTGAGCTGGTTTTGACAAGACACAGGTACAAGACTCTGCTCTGGATTGTAGCAGGTTTGGCTCCTCTGGTTGATGATGCTCCTCTAGTGGCTCCCAGAGTCAGTGGGGCCAAAGGGAGAAGGCTTGATATACAGGAAATAGGCTGGTGTTAAACCTTCTGTAGTACAAAACTTTTGAATTCTGAGAATCATTTAAGAATGTTTACCCCAAGGAATCACAAAATCTGCCACTGAGGAAATAGGCTATAGTGGTCAGGGAGTGGATACTGCCAAGGGGGTCAGATTTCTGGAGCAGCAAGAAGACCTCAGAACAACACATACACAAGAAGACAAAAGACTAACACCACACACACACACACACACACACACACACACACACACACACAGAGTCTTATACTTGTCTGGTGCAGAAAATTCTGATAAAGCATTGCCATTTTTACTGAGTTTTGGTCCCTATTAAAAACGTAGATATCCATGTGAGTGTTGATCCTTGAAGCCAGTGTCAGCCATTTATGCCTGGCCTCTGATCTTTATCTGAGAGCACTTTTGATAGGCTAGAAGATGGAGAAGAGCACGGTGGGCTGAGCAGAGTGGTTCTTGCTGCCAGCCTGAGACCAAACTCTTTGCCCAGTAAAGCCAAAAAGAGCACTTGTTTATCCACCCAAGACTGATGGAGGTCAGCTGTGCCCAGTCCCTTGGAGAGATGGGGGAGGGCCCAGGAAAAAGGCCAGGTGTTTGGATTCTGTGTGTGGGAGGGGCACCTTCCTGAGAGTAGCCTACCCAGCTGGACCCGTGGTCCTTCAGGAGGCCTGTGTTTGCTCATATCCCTGATTGCTCCCAGGTAAACAAATCCTGTTTCTATCTCCCAGAAAGGCAGAACTCCAGCACTGTGGCAGCCTGTTGTTATAGTTACTGACATATGACTTATTGCAGCGATTGTCAGAGCAATGGGAGAAAATAAAATTTAGCAGAGGCTGGTGGTGGGGGTTGGGAGAGAGAGGAGAGTGGGAAGAGAAAGTTTTCGGAAAAGACTTGGGGATGGGGCTGATGGCTTTGTGCGTTTGTACATATGGTGTGATATTAAGAGTATGGACAAAAGAGGTCTTATTGGCAGCATGTCTGAAAGGATCTTGGGAAAAGACAGACTGTCCCAAACAACTTCACCCCTGTTCCATATGCCTGACATTTCACCATTAGTGGTTCATTCCTGAGTTAAGCACTGCCTTTCTCCAGGGGAGGTCATGCCTTAGATTGTAGTTCAGAGTAAGTTTTTCTGGTGACTTTCTTCCTTAGAGTTTGCCAGAGCACTGGGGAAAGATTGGGGGGATGGGGGCCATCAAATAAGGACATAGCCTACTTTCAAAACTCAGATAGGGTTGGTATTGCTGGCCTCCTCTTTGGAAACTCCCCTGTGCTCTCCTGTCTTTCACCACAGTTATGAAGCTAAATGGGATTGAATATGAAAGTCCAGGATATCTTGTTCAATTGGCTAGCCATATACTTTCCTAAGGGATAAATGTAGCTCCTTCTTATTCATCAGCAAATATTTATATATCACCCATTATGTACTAGGCACTGGGTTAGGTACTATTGGGGTAAACATGGAAACGGTTGGGCATCAGACTATGCCTGACATTTAAGAAACAATCTAGGACACCTGGGTGGCTCAGTCGGTTAAGCATCTGCCTTTGGATCAGGTCATGATCTGAGGGTCCTGGGATCGAGCCCCACATTGGGCTCCCTGCTCAGCGGGGAGCCTGCTTCTCCCTCTCCCTTTGCCCCTCCCCCTGCTTGTGCTCTCTCTCTGACAAATAAATAAAATCTTTTAAAAAAAGAAAAGAAACAATCTAGTTACAGAGACTAGACATTTATGCAAGTAAGGTTGGCCAACATAGTGGTTGTGATTGGTGTCAATGGAAGGATAGAGCTAATGGCTAATCTCAGAAGTGGGCAAGGTCATCATAGAGCAGGTTATCTGGGTAAGCCTTAGTTCAGAGTAACACAGTAAATCACTCAGGCCCTTAGCAGGACTGTGGGAAAACAGGGCACAGGACAAATCAGTTTTGGTGGGAATCGTGACACAGACTGAGTAGGGAACATGTTCATACCTCTCTGCTTTGCTATTCATCCAAATTCTGGCCTGTCCTTTCCAGAGAGCTCTCTATCCTTCACTGATCAACCCTAGTCTCAGAACTCCTGTGCTGGAAACCCCAAGACTTAGATTGCCGTAGAAGCAGTATAAGCAAATGGTTAAGTGAGTGAGTTTAGGAGTTCAGTTGCCTGGGTTCGAATCCTGGCTCTGACACTGTGATCTTGGACAACTGATTCGACTGTGACTCGATTTTTCTCATTGGTAAAATGGGGACAGTCATAATAGTGTCTACTTAACAGAGTTGTTGTGGGAATTAAATGAGCTCAGTGGTGTAAGATGCTTAGCACAGTGCTGGCTGCACATGAACTATTATGAACTATTTGTTCATAGAATAAGTATTGAGTGCCTGTGATATTACAGGCACTTTCCTAATGCGGGGATACAGCTGCACTGTATTAAGTGCTGATGGAGCATGGGGTCATTCAGGACCTTTACTCAAGGAACTTTTAAACTACTGTTTTTCTTTCTGCTCTCTCCATTCCAGTGCTTAGTCTATGTGTTATCACTTAGCTTACTTCTGTTCCTTTTTGTTTAACTGGGCAGGCAAGTAGTAGAGCTATGAATTCCCTTAAACCAAGATTTGGTCGTATCCCATAAGGTTTGATGTCAAGTGTTTTCCTTATCTAAGCATTTTGCAATTTGGGGTTTGATATGTACTATTTTTGCTTTTTAATGTATTATGGTATTCCACACTTGATAACTCTGTATTTTCTTTGTCCTTACTATATTCCAAAGAAAGACAGTGAAGAGACCTGTCTGACTTGAGGGGTTCAGGAGAAACCTGCAGGAGACAGGACCGGAAAAAACCATTACTGAAGGGTAACGAGTACTAGACTTCATGTGTCGGTTTCTCTTGTAATGGGACCTTGTAGTCACTGAAAGCATGGACAGGAATGACAGGATTGTTGTGCTGTACTGGGGAGAATAAGCCAGCATTGTTGCTCAGGATGGCTTGTGAGAAAGAGAGGGTTCTATAGGCAGGGAATCCAATTAGAGGATTTTCATGTTATTCTAGGAGAGTGGTTCTTAAACTTGAGTGTGCATCAGAGTCCCCTGGAGGGGCTGGTCAACACACAGTGTGCTGGGCCTCACCTCCAGAGTTTTTGATTCCGTCAGCCTGTGGTGGGGCCTAAGAATTTGCATTTGTAACAAGTTCCCCTGGTGATGCTAACTAATGCTGCTGGTCCAGGAACCACACTTTGAGAATCACCTATCTAGGAGAGAGATGATGAGGAGCACAGGCAGAGTGGTGGGAGGAAGGAAAGTGTGAAAGAGAGATTGGGCAGGAAGAAACCATAGGGCTTGGGGATTGGACACAGAGACAAGGAAAAGGAAGGACTCAAAGATGATTCCAGAGTATTAAGCCTAAGTGCCTTGGAGGGTAGAGAGTCACAGAGGCAAAATCCTAAACATTTAGGGGTGGAATGCTGTTGCATCACAGGTACTGGGAAAATACATGAGTCCCTGTATCTCTCTGCATCTACATCATGACATTCACATTTAAAGGCCTTTTGTCATTCTCCAGGAGAGAGGCTGGTGAAGACAAATCCCATGTCTGTGTTTGGTCTCTTCCTTCCTAAAACGTAACCTTTGAATAGAGGAAGAAAATGAAGCTAGAGAGCAGAGGGTAGGGAGTGTCGAAGGAGCTTGGATATTATGTAAATGGGATGTACACTTTTGGGTTGCTAAGTACTTTTTTTAAAGATTTTATTTATTTATTTGAGAGAGAGAGAGAAAATGAGTGGGGAGAGGGACAGAGAGAGAGGGAGAAGCAGGCTCCCCACTGAACAGGGAGCCCGATGTGGGGCTTGATCCCAGGATCCTGGGATCATGACCTGAGCCAAAGGCAGACGCTTAACCAACTGAACCCCCCAGGCACCCTTGGGTTGCTAAGTATTGAATGTATATGGGCAAATGCTCACAAGGAAAAGGCAAATGAGGAAAGCTCAGTGTGGACCATGCAGGGTAGCTCTAGGATACCACCGGAGATCACTGATGCTATTTCTGAGAGCAGAGGGTTGCCATGATAGGGCTTCTTAACTCCAGCCTACCTAACCTTCCCTAGTTTCCAAGCTTCTGATCCTGGGGCGTTATTGTTCCTGGCTGTTTCCTCAGCCCGTAGGAATTTCTCTTACCTGCTTCTCCCCACTTGGCCTCCGGTAGCTGAGCAGAAGCTCCACAGCGCCCACCACCTCCTTGCGGATGGCATAGAGCAATGCATCGCCTACATACACACTGTGGTTCAACAGTAGCTCCATGATCTCCAAGTTCTCATTTTCAATGGCGATGAGCAGGGCACTCCGGCCCAGAGGATCCATGCAGTTGATGTTGACATTGTAGTAGATCTCAGCCTCCTGTAGGGCCTGTTTCACAGTGGCATAGTCCCCCTTCTCCACAGCATTGAGGAAAGCCTTCTCTTCTGCAGAGAGCTCGGTCTCAGCCCTCACAATTTGCAGGGGGATACGATCTCTGTATGGTGAATAGTTGACTTTTTTGTAGTACAGTTGGGCCATGGTTCATAGCAATTTAGCAACCTGAGTGAGAGAGAGGGAGACCAAAGAGAGTCTTAGGTGCCTGAAGGTCTCAAGTGGCTGGTTTATGGAGGCAGCCTGGCTAAGGGGTTGGAAAATCAACTCTTTTCACACTACCATCTTTCTCTTCTTACAAAGGGGTATAGCAGAAAAAGCCCAGGCTTTTGGGTGGGAAAGACCTGGGTTCAAATCCTGGCTTTACCAGCTCTGTGACCTTGGATAAGTCATTCAAGCCCACTGTGCTTTGGTTTATTATTATTAAGGTTATTGATATTAATAGCATTAATAGCAGTTATCACTTAGTTACTGCTTACTGTGTACCAGGCCCTGCGCTAAAGGCTAATTCCTCCCTCATAAAGCTCTTGTGAGAGTCAGGTGAGATAATATATTTTCAAAGCAACTGGCACAGCATAAACCTCCTAAGACATGGCACAAATTAATTCCTTCTTTCCCTTCTGCTGTCTGAAGATACTCATGAGAATACTTCTGATGGATGATGCAAAGTTGTAGCTACCTTTGGCCAGTTTCCTTTAGGCCCTGGGCCCATGGGCCTGAGCTAATTTTCAGGGTTACATTTGCAGCTGTCCCAGATGTAGATTCTGGATTGAAATCTGGTTTTCATGCTAACTGAAACCTTGCTTCTGGCTGCTGCTCACTGGGGAACAGCTATTGGCTCCACTAGACCAAAGTTAAGTACCCCCTCTGCCTATTCATGATTTTTCCCTCTACCGCTTGAAACCAAGGAGCTGATGGATCTGATAATCTGTTTGATTCAGTTCTGAGAAGTGAATGGTCTATTTTATAAGCACCACATCTAAACCCAGATTTTAATGGAATTGATTTTAAAGTAAAACCTATTATTGAATTCCTACAATGTGTTTAACTTTCTCTGGGAAACCAAGAAGAAAAAGACAGTCTTTGCCTTCAATTGTATGGAATGAATAACAGTATAGAGTTCTTGCCTTGTAGTTTACAGATCAAATTCATGCATGATCCTTACTGACTCCTTGTACTAGCCCTGTGAGATAGGAATGGTTATCCTCCCCCGGGGAGAAGATGAGGCTCAGATCCATAAGGTGATTGGCTCCCCTTTCCCTCCCATCCCTGGGACCTCCAGGACCCTCTGGAGGCTGAGTTGGGCTGGACCGATTTAAGTGTCTCATTACTGAACTGTTTTGCCAGCAAAAAGAAATGGAAATGTGATAAAGGGCCACTTGTCTCATTTCCTGGATGGAAGAGCAGATAAAGACATGAAGCTTCTACAAACATTTGCCTCACTTTTCTAGGTAATGACATCCCTGCTTTGGCAAAGGGAGAAGCATATATTATACCAAGTAACATTTGCAATTCATGTGCTTGTGATCTTCTGGGAAGTTGGTATTTGAAGGTGAGTATCACCTCTTGCCCTGAACAGGTCCAAATGACAAATTTCTCTCTGCATCCAAGTCTCAGGAGAGCAGGGTACTGTTTGACTGTCTCAAGAAACACTGATATTTTTCTGTGCTACTTTCAAGTAACTCAGCAGTGGCTAAAGGGAAGTGGCACTTAGAGTAAGCATTTGTCACTAAACAGCAAATGACTTTAATAATACTAATTGTAGACTGCCTCCCTAACTCCATTATAAACAAAGAAGGAGGAGGAAGAAGAGAAAGTGTGATCTCCTGAAGAGAGACTCAACAACCTGATTTAGTTTATATTTATTTAATCAGTGTGAACACACTGGAAGCCTGCAGTGTGCCTCGCACTATGCTAGTCATCTTGGGAGGGTATGAAAGAATAGGTCCATGCCTTCATTGTCTCTCACCTAAACCATTCCACTACCTTATGGTTGGTCATCCCGACTCCATTCTCTTCCCCTCCGCATGGTCTTCTGCACCACCCACAAGTTATCCCATGAAACACACATCTGATTCCATTTCACTCCTTGATTAGTTTCTTGATGCTCTTGTGATGAAATCAACATTCCTTTCTGAGGTCTCCTAGGTCTGGGCTTGTGTTTACCTCTTCAGCTTCTCACCCTCATCCATTATTCTTTAGCCTTGTGGAACTTCTTTTGATTCTCCCAACATGCCAAGCTTTTGTGCCACCTCAAGACCTTTGATTACCTCCTGGAATGCTCTTCTCCAGCTCTCTTCATCTCTCATACCTCAACAAAATGTCACCTCCTCAGAGCAGCCCTCACTAGCCACCTTGTCTAAAGTAGTTCTTTCATATTCTTCTCTCCATTATATTCTTTTCCTTCTTAATGCCTATCACAATTTGTAGTTACATATTTCTTTGTCTTACTGGATAATCATCTCTTCTGTCCAATTTGCTTTAAAGCTCAAGTTCAGGGACTGCATCTGTCCTGTTATAGCACCTGCACCTAGCCAAGTTCGTGGCATGCCCTGGATGCTTGATATATATTTGATGAGTGAATGAGTAAACCTTCCAGGATATTCTCTCCATCCCACCCTAAGTTCTAGCCATACTGAGCCGTGCTCTCTGAGTTGCCCTTTTATGACCATGTCTGCACATGTCTTCATCCCACTCTCTGCACCAAACAAATTCCTTCTCGGCTTCAGCACCTTGCTCACAGTTCTCCTTCTCTGTGAACTTTTCCCCCAACACCTTCAGAAAGTTAGCCAATCTCCCTCTGAGTTCTCCACTGGTACTTGGATGACATTTCTCCAATGTCACCTAACTGCATGCTTGTCTTTCTGCCACTAGGGTAGGAGTACCTTGATTCCTGCCTTCTGAGGACTCACACAGGTCTGGAACATGACGGGTGCTTGACAAATGAATGTTTAACAAATACGATCTAGCTGTGGAGGGTTGGCATGGTCACAGAATAAAGTATTAAATTGTGTGGCACTGATATGATGCTTTGGGATTTCAGAAAGGCCTTGGTGAGGGCTGGAGATCTCAGAGAAGGTTTCATGGAAGAGGTAGCTCTTAAGCCAGTGTTTGGAAGATGAATTAAATGTGAAAATGTGAGGATAGTCCAGACACCATAGAGCATAAGAACAACAGTGGTGAGATTGATCATGGCCTAGTTGGAGGGGTGTGGTGGATATAGTTTTCAGGCTATAATAAGATACAAACATTAAGGGTGTGCTAAAATTCCAAGGCAAGAGCTCATAACCTCAGTTTTCCCATCAGAAAAATGCTCTTAAATACTTGCTGCCCATTTGCCACTTAAGAGGTTACCATGGGAGAAAAGGCTAGATGTCTTTTCAGATGGTGTCACAGATGTTGCTGTGCTAAGCCCTAAGATCTTGTCCACTTCCGTAAGGCAAGGCTGTGTGATAAACTGAAGACAAATGTATCCTAGTGCAAGATGAGAAGGAAGGGAACTAACTAAATTGGTGTCCTATTATATGCCAGGTACTGTGCCAGGAGCTGGTGCAACAAAATAATTAGTAGAGTTTTGAATACTTAATATGTCCCAGGCATTGTGCCAGGGCAGCACTATTACTACTACTGCTTCCTGTGGTAATAGTAGTAATAATGAAGGCAACAAGCAGTACCATTCGTTGAACTTTCACTATGTGCCAGATGTGTGGGTTATAGTGGTGAAGAGCAAGGACAGTAAAACACAGTAATTTGAGACTCGAAGTAAGTATAATTGGATTATATATAGTCAATTCAGAGTCTAGATTTACTTTTCATCTCTTGCATTTGAAATTGATCTGGTCTATTGCATTTCCAGTGAGCTGGAATATGAGAAACCTCATAGTATTCCCCTTAGAGAAAAATATCTCCTCCAGAGGTTTGCCTGAGAGTGTACTACTAGGGAATTGCTCCTTTGCTTTAAGGCACTACATCTCTAAAACTACCCCTGGAAGGAATAAAAAAATCATGTGACTAACAGCTGTTAACACCTTAATGTGGATTCCTTGAGGAGGAAAGTTGCTGTGGCCTTGGGAGCACAGAGACGTGTGTCTAGAAAGGCAGGGAAGGTGTGGTGAAGGGGAAAGGAGAGGCCTGGTGTCCAGCCTTGGGAATCTCTTTTATGTATCCATTCCCACCTCGACATTACACATTGACAATGATGTAAAATGGGTTCCTTGTGTTATCTGTCTACATGTAGGCTTATGTAGACATCTAATGACTTGCCTAATGCCCTACCCTCTTCCATTCCCCACAGCTGGTGCCATGTGACCCTTACTTACAGCTTTAGCCTCAGCCTTCCTCCAGGCTGAGACCAGTCCTTTCTTCATAAGCTGTTAGTCCTACTCTGCCATTTTTCTGGGAACAAATAGCTAATGATAGAGTTTCTGGCATCTCTTGAGGATGTATTATTGGGAGGGTTCCTTCCCGTCACTCTTTACCTTTATACTTGGTAGATTGTACTCATTTGTCATTAACCTAAGCCAAGAGATGAGGTTGGCTTTCCCATCATTATGCACTGGCCTTGAGGTGTGTTCTTAACTGAACAAAACAAAACCAGCCAGCACTTAATGCCATTTCTACAAGTGAACCTCACTCCCAATGTAGTCCACCAAATAAGGAACGTTAGGAATGGTCTACCACGCTGCCTCAGGGGGCTTATCGTGTTCTCTCTTTTTTATGCTTCTAGCTAGAGGAGAGTGTCTAATGGGATCTGTGACATTTGTAGGCTTAAATGATGCGATTTAAAGAGCTAAATCAATGGGCTGGGCAGAAGGCCAGGGCGCAAATCTCAGCCCAGATCACTGCCCATCTCTGGACTTTGTCTGTGAAGAGGAAAGCCTCGCTTTACACCTAACTAAAAAAAAAAGTGTGCTTTTAGAGGGATGTGGTATCTGTGCATGGCTTACACTCTGTGCCATCAGGACTGAGCTTGAATAGTGAAGCCCTTGTGACCTCTCGCCCTTATCCATGCCTACCTATCCACTTCTGCATCTCTTCAGAGCCCTTTAAGACAAGTAGATTTAATCTGATAAACTTGTACAATCTCAAGTGTAAATGGTGGATAACGAGCACATTTAATGATTATGTACCAGGCACTGTGATAGAAG